CGGAGAGCGGGGAGCAGGGCGGGGCTCCGGGGAGCAGAGCCGCGGGGGGGCTCCGGGGAGCGGGGCTCCGGGGAGCGGGGAGCAGGGCGGGGAGCGCGGCTCCGGGGAGCGGGGAGCGCGGCTCCGGGGAGCGGGGAGGGGAGCGGGGAGCGCGGCTCCGGGGAGCGGGGAGCGCGGCTCCGGGGGCTCCGGGGAGCAGGGCGGGGCTCCGGGGAGCAGGGCGGGGCTCCGGGGAGCGCGGCTCCGGGGGCTCCGGGGAGCGGGTCTCCGGGGAGCGGGTCTCCGGGGAGCGCGGCCCCGGGGAGCGCGGCCCCGGAGAGCGCGGCCCCGGAGAGCGCGGCCCCGGAGAGCGCGGCCCCGGAGAGCGCGGCCCCGGAGAGCGCGGCCCCGGAGAGCGCGGCCCCGGAGGGAGGAGGGCTCCCCGGAGCCGCGCTCCCCGGAGCCGCGCTCCCCGGAGCCGCGCTCCTCCCTCCGGGGAGCGCTTCTCCGGGGAGCGGGGCGGCCGGGGAGCGTGAGAGGGTCCGGGCATGGGGCAGCTCCGTGGGAGGGGGCCGGGGCCGCGCTCAGCAGGCGCGGCGGGTCCGGGGCGGCGAGCCGGGGGAGCGCCGCGCCTCCGCGCCTCACCTCGGGGGTGCGGCTGCGGCTTTGGGGGAGCTCGCTGGAGTGCGGGCGGCTCGGTGGAGTGGAGCGTGGGTCGGTGCGGTTAAGCGGTGCGGTTAAGGTGCGGTTAAGCGCGCGCGGCTGGGGGGGGATTGCGGCTGGCGGCTGGCTCGGGAAGGGGAGCTCAGCTGGCTCGTGGGAGCGCGGCGGGCTATATGATATATTCTTTTTCAATGTCGAGTTGTCAAATATTTGATAACATTATCAATCACATGAAAATGTTGTTTTTGGTCCATTAGATATTGAAATTAGATTAACTATGATGATTGATTTTTTTTGTCCTATAAAATATTATTGTTGTTAATTTCGGTTTGCTATTATATATAGATTTTTATTGGTAGTTTTTTAGCGTTGTTCAGTGTGGTAAAATCTGATAAAACCAAACAAATTAAAACCAAACCGAATTTTGATACACATAAATCGAATAGATGTTATTTTATTGTAAACCACATATATGGATATGGTATATAGATATGATGTTAATATGATAGTTAAATTTTTATAAACCAAAATTCAACCGAAATCCAGATTGAACAACCTAATCTAAAACCAAGTTAAAATGTGGTACATGAATATAAAAATATTAAATAGATAAATTAAACACATTCGAAAGCAAACAAAAACAATAGTTCAATACAGTCCCCATATCAAATCCAGAAAATAAAAAATGCTACAAGTCTCATAGAACATAGTAACGCTTGGTTCAATTATCACAAATCAAGCAAGAGAAAAACTTCTGAATTAAAGATTTTGGACTTGAGTGACGAGTAGTTCCCTGAGAAAGATCAACGATCTCATGTTCATCACGACCTACCTCTTTAGCCTTCTTAGACTCACCATAGAACTTAGTGAAAGCTTCCTCTACGTACTTGGCCGCATCTGAAACTTTCATGTTGTCCACTAGCTTCAACGGGTAAATGTCTTTGATATGATCACCTCTTATAACAGCCGCTGCTTGTATCAGCTCGATCTGAAAATCCGTGAGATCTTCATCTTCTTCTTGTGTTCCAATGTCTAAGGCTCTTGCCCTTGGAAGTTCAGGTAATGTAACTGAAAAAAATCAAGAAAAATGTATTACATAATGAACCTATGGGACCATGATCGACTAGTAACAGATAGTTACCAGGGCAGTCAGTTCTTGGGCTGGTTCGGTTGATGACAGCATCAAATGTTCCTGCCCATTCGTCACGCTTTGTAAGAAAGCTCTTGAGGTTGAATATCTTTTTCAGTGTAGCTGGAATCGATGAATGCTCATACTGTGACGTTGGGTCTGGTCCATTTGGCTCGTGTAACACTATAACATGTCATGTTATGAAATCGAATCAAAATCAATAACCGGTTTTGACCAACATGACAATACTGCTAAGATAACACGTAAAAACATCTACGTACCAGTTCCAGGTTCGATCCAAGGTGAGATCAGCAATGCAGGAACCCTAACACCAAGCCGGTCAAATTTAAAGTTAAACGGAGGACCACCGACAAGACCATCAGGATTTGGAACTCCAGTGACAGGAGTAGGGACATGGTCATAGTAACCACCATGCTCATCAGGCCCGTCCCGGGTATAAGGCAGGAGAAGCACTAGCTTCAGGCCACATTTGAAAAAAAAGGATTATAGAGGCCACATTATAGCTTCCATATTACTCAAGTAAGCAAATTAATATGTCAATCAACGTGTTTAGTGGTTCAACGCGTACAAAACTTTAAAGTAATTACATTTTGGGAGACTTTTTCTTGTTTCATGTTGGTTTAAACAAAACTATTTTGTTTTTATTTCAAATTATGGGTATTGTTTTTATAGAAAGTTTTATTTATTGTTCATACGTATATGTATTCTCATGATCTCTTGTATATTTATGTTTTCCTTGTAAAAATATTTCATCTAACTTAACTATGCTTAAATATACTCTACACTTTATCTTGTGAACATATTATGATAGTTAATATATGTGTATATGTTCTTATTGTTTTTTTCATGAAATTAAAAAAAATTACAAAGGAAACCAACAATATATAATCTTTATTAGATTAAAAACATAAGCTAGTTAAGATATGAAATTGACTAGTTAAAACAAAGATATAAAATTGACTAAATATTTTGTAAAAAAAATTGAGAGGCCACAATTTTAAAATTGCTTTAGGCCACTAAATAGTTAGGGACGGCACTGATGCTCATCATAAACAACAACGAAGAGAATCTCGTTCCACTGAGGGCTAGCTCTTAAGGCTTCGTAGATCTCTTTGACTAGGTTTTGGCCTTCAGCCACGTCGTTTTTTGGGTGATCATCATTTGCTGGAGCCGACAGAACTTTGAAGTATCTAGGTTCGATGACCACATAGTTTGGAAGCTTCCCTTCTTTGCAGTGTCTCTTGAAGCTTAAGTGGTATTGATGGAAGTTGTCCACGTACTTCAGCTTCCTCATGTTCCTAATTAAATTTATATTTGAATTAGTGAATTCTTGCATTTACATGATTAATTTTTAAGGAGTATAGAAAATTGACCCAAGAAATAGACAGTTGGACACATGCAAAACTCAGCTATTATTTAAATCGAATCTCTGAGATATGATCTGATAAATTTAAAAAATAAAAGTGCACAAAAAAATAAATCAAATTATTTATTGAACAGTACAAAAATGAACTATTATTTTATACTGTTGAATGTTTCTTTTGGAATTTGGTAATAGAGTTTAATAATATAATCACTAAGCAACACCATTTTAAATAGACTACAAATCGAAAGATTCCAAGCATTTGATCCCTTTTCTAAAGCACTTTAGTGGTTAGTACTTGATCATCACATGAAACATTTTCTTTTTGAAAAGAAATTAATCATGGAAGATTTGAATTCATTTTCGTTATATTTAAATGAATAGTATATATATTGCAATCTAGGTGTCACAACATTTCGTCGGTTCATCATTATCATGTTTGTCTTCTTCTTCATTACTATTTATCCTACAATCATAGTTTTGTAACTTTTGACTTTTACGTTTACATAGTGGAAAGTATCTTACCTGTAAAATAGGCAATTAGGAAAAGACTGGTAGTAAATCCCAAACGTGAATCCACTCTCTTCAAGTGATTCAAACACTGTCTTCTGAGGAAACCCACGTACAAGTGTGTTAGTATCATTGCTAAACGCACCGTTTGATGTCGCCGAGTGGACGTATAAACGGTTAGGCTGCGTCGACGAAGGCAAAGACGAGAACCACCGATCACATACGGCGAATTCTTGGACTAGCTCCTTGAACACGGGAAGCCTCTCCGGTGGAAACCCTTGCATGACTACTTTCTCCGACATCCCTGGTGTGATGGCCTCTGCGTTTTGTACGAACCCGTTCATTGTCGGAGCCGGGTATGGACTCTCGTCACTGAACGGTTTCCCGAAAACTTGCTCGTAGATCGCCTGAAGTTCCAAGAAAATATGTATCAATGGCCGGTTTAAGATATTAGTAAACCGAGAATTACAAAATAAACCGACTATTGTTTTGGCTATTTGGTTTGGCTTCATGAAAACCGGAAGAGAACCAAAGCCATTACGAATTTATTTAAGAGAGATCAACGTAAACCGAACCATACACCGGTTTAATACTAAACCGGAGGTATACCTGGAAGGAGTGACCGGGGTCAGGATCAATGTTCTGAGATTCTTTGCCGAAGAAGACTTGAGCAGAGTTCGGGTCTGTTGTGGAAAACGGGTTGGATCTTGGTTCGGATTCGGATACTCCATCGATTTCAGGGTTTAGCTCCTTGAACCAACCTAACATGTGATCAAAAGACCTGTTCTCCTGTACCAAAACCACGATGGTTTTGATCGGAGAAGCTGATGAGCCACCGCCTGAGCTTGTCTCCTCCACCATAATTTTTTTTCTTGATGAACAATCTGACTTGTTTAGTTGTTTTCTTCTCTCTCTTTGAATTAAAGGTGCCCGTCGAAATGATAGCTTGTTTTATAGTGTGATATTAAGGGAACACGAGGTCCAATTGATTTTTTTTATATGGTAAGTAACTCACATAAGATCTCATTACATAAATGGCATTGTAGTGTTATTATTTATATTCTTTAATTACTATGTATGTATAAAGAAAAAAATCTAGCAACGTCAAATTTGTCACGGTCGGCAAGGTGGCAGAAAAAAACGTTTTAAAAGTTTATGTTACTGTAAAATTTCGGTGAAAAAAAGTTTATACTGTAACTTTTTGACTTAACAAACTTCTCATAGGCTATCCAATTTATTAATTTGTGATTTTCCCCTCGATGTTGCTTGCTAAAACAAAGGATAATGGATATTTTTAAAACAAAAAATTGTGCATATGTATATAAATGTCTACTTGAACATCTGCATAGTTTGTTATTAGAATGTTACTTTGAGAAATGTAAATTGTGTAATTATTAAAAAATTATGAGTTGTGAATAAATGATTCCTCATGTTGTTAACATATTAGCAGCATGGGTTAACTGTAGATGATCCGTTTTCACGTAAATAGTTAGTGTAAATTTGGTATGGACACTGGGGGAAAAGTGGAGATGGAGATTTGGAGAAGGTAAAAGATTTGCTTCCAAATTTTATCTTTCAATATCAAAAGAAATTTTAGTAAGCTGGTTATTATTGGCGCTGCATAAGTTTTAAGTCGTGTATATCATTTAAAATAAGCCTGGTGGTAGATGAAGCAGGTGTTGACTGATAAAAAAAAATTAGGTATTGACTAATTATTGGTTACACTGTAGTGTATAGCACGTTTTTGCATGAATCATTTTATTATACAGGAATTACAAAGTCAAGATTTTTCTTTAAAATATGATTAAAAAATTGTTCAGTAATACATTTTGCTAGCTAAAATTCACGATGTAGCAATATTTCATGTAGCAGGTAGAAGTTCGGAATAATAGTTATGTAGTATATATGTGTATATTATGATTTATGACAATACGTTGCAAATGCATTCTTGTTCAAATTAATTATTATATTTGTAATCATTACAATAAAAAAAATTTCACAACTAAAGTTTAGGACCCACTTGTATTTCGTAATGCTATGATCTACTCATCAATCGAATAATTAAAGTAGATGGAATATGAAAATAAATACGTAAGTTCTTGATTAAAGTATAAAGCATTATGCTAGAGATACTAAAGCTTTAATTTCTTAAATAAATCAGCACAACATTTTTCACATTGTCGGATTATCCCCTCACAACAAGAACTTTACATTTTACTGTATACTCTACTAATCCGAACTGTGCTTAATGGTAGTGTTTGCGGTATCATACTTTCCACTTTTTCTATGGTGAGCAAGTGTTTTTCTTTCTCCTATGAACATGCTTTCTCATAGAGCATGTTAAGGGTGATGTATTGAGATTCTAGGCTTCTAATTATTGATGCTTGGCTATATCTCATCTACTGTAATTTGGGATCCGGTGCAGAAGTATGAGGGTTATCCTTCAGGATCAGTGGTTGATTTTGCATGTGATGCTGATGGTTCTTCAATTCTGATGAACCGTCCAAGTATGGAGTTGTGGTCATGGAAAAGGGGAGAGCGCGGCTCCGGGGGAGAGCGCGGCTCCGGGGGAGAGCGCGGCTCCGGGGGAGAGCGCGGCTCCGGGGGAGAGCGCGGCTCCGGGGAGCGAGGCTCCGGGGAGCGAGGCTCCGGGGAGCGAGGCGGCTCCGGGGAGCGAGGCGGCTCCGGGGAGCGAGGCGGCTCCGGGGAGCGAGGCGGCTCTGGGGAGCGAGGCTCCGGGGAGCGAGGCTTCGGGGAGCGAGGCGGCTCCGGAGAGCGGCGGGGGGTTCCATGAGAGTGGTGGCTGGCTCCAGGAGAGCGGCGGGCGGCTCTAGGAGAGCGGCGCTGGAGCCGCGCTGGAGCGGAGGCAGAGACTCCAGGAGAGCGCGGCGCGGCGGCTCCAGGAGAGCGCGGCGGCTCCGGGGGAGCCACGGGGTCCGGGGGAGTGCGGCGGCTCGAGGGGTCTGGGGGAGCGCGGGTCCGGGGGAGCACGGCTCCGGGGCGTGCTCCGAGGGAGTGGGTAGAGCGGGAAGCGGGGGAGCGCGGATCTGTGGAACGTGGCTGGCTCAAAGGGGGAGAGCTCAGCCGGCTCAGGGGAGCTCAGCCGGCTCGGGGGTGCGGCTTGGGGGCGCGGCTGGGGGGCGTGCGTCTTAGGGGCGCGGCGGCTTAGGGGAGCTCGGTGGAGTGCGGGAGGAGGCTCGGTGGAGTGCGGGAGGAGGCTCGGTGGAGCGCGGCTAGGCGCGGCTGGCTCGGGAAAGGGGAAGGGGAGCTCAGCTGGCTTGTGGGAGCGCTCNGGGGGGGGGGGGGGGGGGGGGGGGGGGGGGGGGGGGGGGGGGGGGGGGGGGGGGGGGGGGAGCGCGGCGCCGCTCCGCGTGTCTCGGTGGTGTTGCGGCGCAACACCTATATATATATTCTTTTTCAATGAAAAGTTGTCAACTATTTGATAACATTATCAATTATATGAAAATGTTGTTTTGGTCCATTAGATATTAAAATCAGATTAATTATGATTATTGGATTGATTTTTTTTGTCCTATAAAATATTTTTGTTGTCACTTTCGGTTTGCTATTATATATAGATTTTTGTTTTGTCTACATTGGCAATTTCTTAGCGTTGTTTATTCTGGTAAAATCTGATAAAACCAAACAAATTAAAACCAAACCGAATTTTGATGATATCACATAAATCGAATAGATGTTATTTTATTGTAAACCACATATATGGATATGGTATATAGATATGATGTTAATATGATAGTTAAATTTTTATAAATCAAAATTTAACTTTTATTACAAAAACATTTAGCGTAAAATTCGATTTTTTCGTAGGGGTTAACCCACATATTTAAAAAAAAGAAGGAAAATATGGAATTTTTTTTTATTTTTCATATATGCATCCAACACTGATGTAGGAAGAATATTAAAGAGGTTTTTACCTTAGTTATCCTAATTTCTCTAGAATATAGAGATTTCATAGGGTTTAGATCTTTTAATTATGTTATATATGAAGTTTTATTAAATTACTCACAGGAAAATTATAACTGATGCCCATATACCACGAAAATAAATTTAGACTACCTTAGTATAAATTTTTAATGTTGTTAGATATTTTAAGCAACACTAAAAAGGTTAAAATTTATTAAAATAACATTTATCGAAAAATTCGATTTTTTCGTAAGGGGGTTACCCACAGATTTCAAAAAAAAATTAGAAAATATGGAATTTTTTTATTTTTCATATATGCATCCAACACTGATGTAGGATAAATACTAAAGGGGCTTTGTACCTTAATTATCCTAATTTCTCTAGAATATAAAGATTTCATAGGGTTTAGGTCTTTTATTTATGTGGTATATGAAGTTTTATTAAATTACTCACTGGAAAATTATAACTGATGTCCATGTACCACGAAAATAAATTTAGGCTACCGTAGTATAAATTTTTAATGTTATTAGATATTTTAAGAAACACTAAAGAGTTTAAATTTATTAAAATAACATTTATCGGAAAATTCGATTTTTTTCGGAGGGGTTAACCCACAGATTTCAAAATTTTTTTAGAAAATATGGAATTTTTTTAGAAAATATGGAATTTTTTTATTTTTCATATATGCATCCAACACTGATGTAGGATAAATACTAAAGGGGTTTTGTACCTTAATTATCCTAATTTCTCTAGAATATAGAGATTTCATAGGATTTAGGTCTTTTATTTATGTGATATATGAAGTTTTATTAAATTACTCACTTGAAAATTATAACTGATGCCCATGTACCACGAAAATAAATTTAGGCTACCGTAGTATAAATTTTTAATGTGGTTAGATATTTTAAACAACACTAAAGAGGTTAAAATTTATTAAAATAACATTTATCGGAAAATTCGATTTTTTCGTAGGGGTTAACCCACAGTATTAAAAAAAAATGAGAAAATTTGAAATTTTTTTATTTTTCATATACGCATCCAATACTGATGTAGGATGAATATTAAAGGGTTTTTGTACCTTAGTTATCCTAATTTCTCTAGAATATAGAGATTTCATAGGGTTTATATCTTTTAATTATGTTATATATGAAGTTTTATTAAATTACTCTCTGGAAAGTTATAACTTATGACCATGTACCACGAAAATAAATTTAGGCTACCTTAGTATAAATGTTTAATGTGGGTAGATATTTTAAGAAACACTAAAGAGGTTAAAATTTATTAAAATAACATTTATCGAAAAATTCGATTTTTTCGTAGGGGTTAACCCACAGATTTCAAAATTTTTTTAGAAAATATGGAATTTTTTTGATTTTTCATATATGAATCCAACACTGATGTAGGATACATAATAAAGGGGCTTTGTACCTTAATTATCCTAATTTCTCTAGAATATAAAGATTTCATAGGGTTTAGGTCTTTTATTTATGTGGCATATGAAGTTTTATTAAATTACTCACTGGAAAATTATAACTGATGCCCATGTACCACGAAAATAAATTTAGGCTACCGTAGTATATATTTTTAATGTTTTTAGATATTTTAAGAAACACTAGAGAGTTTAAATTTATTAAAATAACATTTATTGGAAAATTCGATTTTTTCGGAGGGGTTAACCCACAGATTTCAAAATTTTTTTAGAAAATATGGAATTTTTTTATTTTTCATATATGCATCCAACACTGATGTAGGATAAATACTAAAGGGGTTTTTGTACCTTAGTTATCCTAATTTCTCTAGAATATAGAGATTTCATAGGGTTTAGGTCTTTTATTTATGTGATATATGAAGTTTTACTAAATTACTCTCTGGAAAATTATAACTTATGCCCATGTACCACGAAAATAAATTTAGGCTACCTTAGTATAAATGTTTAA